CACCACCACCAATTCTCTTTCTCAGCCATTTTCACACTCAACCAAATTTTAACAGACTTTTCTCCGCTTTACCCTATAAATTATCACTATTAACCTAAATTTATTGAGCTCATTTAAATTCTCTTGTTTCTAGACAAACAGAGCAGTCAGAAATATTTTTTAAATCAGTAACATACTTTAACATATCTGTATTTGTTTCACCTTTAAACATTTTTAAAGATTTTTAGGCAGCGTTTATTTTTAAACAGATCTGCAGGTAAGTTCTTAAATATTTAAGCAGCCTTTATATAAAACAAAACATAGATTTACAGTATAGATATATTTCATGATATGCTATTTTTTTTTCATTCATATAAATGGTGCTGTGATGTTTTTTTTGTAAATTTACACTTTTCAAAAACTTTAAATTTAATTTATAAATAGTTCACCCGCATAAATGTATTAGAATCTCTTCAAATCTTTWAAAAAAAATTGAAACTTACTTTTGTTTTGGCTTTTAGTTAGCATTTAGCTGTAGTATTATGCTACTATAGGTATTTAACCTGTATTTTGCTATTTTTTGACATTTGGATATCACTACTTTTACCTTTTAAATAACATTTTGCTTCAACCCCAATTCCAATAAAGTTGGGGTGTTGTGTAAAACATAAAGATAAACAAAACATGATTTGCAAATCCTTATCAACATAWATTTTAATAAAATACACCACAAAGACAAGATACTTAATGTTTAAACATATAAACTTTATTGATATTTTTGTAAATATTCACAAAACATCTGGGACAGGGACAACAAAAGTCAAAAATCAGTAAAAATCATCGAGTTCTGTTTTTGTTTTACATAACTCCTCAACTTCATTGAAATTGGGGTTGTACTTTTAGTTAGCATTTTCCTCCTTTTACCTTGTGTTCTGCTTATACAGTTCAGTTTCATCAGTAAATTTCAGTAGTCATTGTGTACTGTGTTCATTCTGAATTTTCTTCTCTAGTTTAATATTTAAATGTGGCAAATTTATCATTTTTTGTAAATCTGTCTAAACTGTCAGGATGAATGTTTGAGGCAACATTTCATGTAAAGTTATTTTTACAATGTCTTTAAAAATCACCTCAACTTGAGCAAAACAGATCATTTATTGATCCATTTATGGCATAAAAATAAAATTAAAAACAAGGCAACAAAAACATGAAATGTGTCTTTAAATTAGTCCTCCAGTTCACAACATTTAAACAACTYTTTCATATTCCGATATGAAATCTTTTAATTTTTTATATATATTTTTTCATCCAAAATCAATCAAGTTTTCTTCCTGAACAAATCCACCACCGTGTTTTTTCTTTGACCAATCAGCAATCAGTTCCTTAATTTCCTTTCCGAATTCTTCATGTAGTTTCATGAAATCGTCCTCGGAGACAAGACCCAGACCCAGACCCAGACCCAGACCCTGAGCAAGAGTTCCAACAGGCACCATGTCTGAGGTTCTTTGGGGCCACATTTTGGATGATTTCTTGTTAGCTGATCTGTTTGGAACTTGAAGCTCGGGGTTGGAGCTCAGAGGGGCTCCGGCTCCTAAAACCTGAGCTGAATATGAAGCAGCTGTGCTCGGAGAGCTCGCGTCTGCTGCTGTGGGGAAGCTGGGCATCACGAAGGGTTTGCTTGGTTTACTGGAAAATTCATTCAAAGCATCTAGAAAGAAAAAGAAAACATGGTAAGGAATTGCAGAAACATGATAGATTTCACTGCTACAAGTTTGAAGTGGTACAAGTGGAGGTTCATCCCCAAAACATGCTAACATTACATCTCACCTGAAATCACACATAACCTTCATTTTTTAAAGGAACTCTGAGTGATTGCAACATTATTTGAAAAACATTTACTTCAACTGTAAAAACAGGACTGCAAAAAAACTATAGGTTGTTAGGTTTTTGTAAATTAATATAAATATATATTATCACACGGACGTTGCCATGTTATTTACTGTGCAAATTGTTCTGGGTAAATGATGAAGCATACCGGCTGCTGCGGTGCAAGCTCTATCCAGCTGGAATGTTAATTTTGGACAAYGTCTGATGTTCAGCCCTTTTAACTTATACCAGAGCGCTTTGACAGACAGGAGAATGTGCACGGAGGACAACAGAGCTGCTCACCTCGGCTTTAGCCTTTTAGCTTTTTAYGTTAGCTCCCAAACTAATAGATATACTTAACACAGAAAACAAGGAAATTTGTGTTTGGTAGAATATTTTTTGTTGCAACAATGCTTATTGGCAATAAATCTTAACCTGATTGGCAGCAGCTGGAGGTACCAGAAGCTTAAAACAAGTGTCAATAACAACAGCAAAATAAGCTGTTTGGCAGAGAAGATTTGGCAAATYATGTATGACACGACCCTAATACTCAGCTCTACTGCTCATCCCACAAATGCGTGTTCCTTACAAATGTGGTACCCTTTAAAAGGATAACAACAGGCTTTCTAACAGTAACATTTGTTGATTTTTTTATTTTCTTTTTTTTTTTTTACTTTTCGTAAGGTCACTGTGTCAAAAGCGGGACAGTGTGTGTGTGTGTGTAAGTCACATTGTGCACGTTGGGCCTGGTGTGGGCAGTGGCGGAGGCAGAGATTTTTCTCAGGGGTGGCCAGACCGGGACCGCTACTCACACAGGGGTGGCCAGGAAAATTACATATTTTTTTACTTGAAAGTTTTCTGCAGATCTTTGTGCTTTTGTCATTTCCTTATGCCCTTATACAGGCAGTGACTACCTTATAAACATGGGCATCAGAACCATTTTAAAAGTGTGTGTGTGTGTGGGGGGGGAGCACACAGGTCTGGGT